TCGTGTTTTAGAGTACAAGCTTCCCAGTTTTGGGTTTTTTTTTTTTTTTGTTTTTTTTTTTTTTTTTGGTGTTTTTGAGAAAGGGTCTCCCTGTAGCCCCAGCTGGCCTGGAACTCACTATGTAGACCAGGCTGGCCTCGAACTCAGAGATCCGCCTGCCTCTGCCCCCCAAGTGCTGGGACAACAGGTGTGACCATCACACTCAGACTACCAGTTTTTTCTGTAATAGTCTCACAGTAAAACCCAAAGTTTTAGTTACATGTAGTCAACCACTGCCTAAAACATTAATTGGAAAATTTCAGCAATGATTCATAAACTTTAACTTGCATAGTATTCTAAGCACAGTGTTAAAATGCCAAGCTTTCTTGTCTGGGACATGAGATAATCTCTCTGTCCACTGTATCCACATTGTACATGCCAGCAGCTTGTTAGTACTTGCTGGTCACCTTAGTTATGAGATCTATTATCATGATATGGCAAGGCTTATATTCAAGTACTCTTATTTTACTTAGTAATGGTCCCAGTGAATAAGGGTAGCAATGCTGGCAACTTTGATGTGTCAGAGACTACTGTATGCTTACTTTAAATGAAAAAGTGAAAGTTCTGAACTTAGGACAAAGCATATTACTATCAAGGTTTTCAGTACCCACTGAGGTCTTAGAACATGTCTCCTGAAGATAAGAACAGACTTTTAAAAAACAGTATAACATTTAACACTTTTTTCACTTAAATATTAAAATAGGAAGGCAAAGTACTTTTTTCATCTTGAACTATATATATAAATGTACTTTAAAATAATATATTTAGCCGGGCGTGGTGGCGCACTCCTTTAATCCCAGCACTCGGGAGGCAGAGGCAGGTGGATCTCTGTGAGTTCAAGGCTAGCCTGGTCTACATAGTTCCAGTTCAGCTGGGGCTACAGGGAGATCCTGTCTCAAGAAGACCAAAAAATAATAATAATAATAATAAAATAAAAATTATCTATTTTAAACTTGGTGATACTAAGTCAAAACAAAAGCAAATTAGTGAAAGAAAACAAGGAGTCCAGAAGTCAATCTACTGGTATGGATTTAAAAAATGGATTCTTGGGACTAGAGAGATGGCTCAGAGGTTAAGATGTGATTTTTCTTACAGAGGACCTGTGTTCTAGTTTCTCAATTGCTGTAACAAAATACTCTGTCCAATACCAAATTGGGGAGGAAAGGGTTTATTTTATCTTACATCTCCTGAGTCACAGTTCATCAGGGAGCCCAAGGTAGGAACTCAGAGCAGGAATCTGGAGGCAGGAGCTGAAGCACAGGCCATGGAGGAACACTGCTTACTGGCTTGCTCCCCTGACCATGCTCAGCCTGCTTTCTTACACAACACAGCACAACCTGCCCAGAGGTGGCACCACCCACAGTGGGCTGGGCCCTCCCACATCACTCAACAATCAAGAAGATGCCCTACAGACATGGCCACAGGCCAATCTAATGGAGGCACTTCCCCTATTGAGGCTCCCTCAACCCAGGTATGTCAAGTTGACACTAAAGCTATCCGGCACAATTGACCCCCTGTCAACTTGACACACAAACACATCACTATTAAACCATAACCTTTCCAATTCCTATCCCCAAGGTATGATGTTAACTCACAACATAAGACAGTACAAACTTAAAAGCCCCACAGTCCTTAAAAAATTCCAACACTTAAAAGTCCATAGTCTCTTTTAAAAGTCTCTTAATGGTGTGTGGACTTCTGGAAAATCCAGAACAACTACTGTCTTATTTCAAAGGGAACAATCGAGCACACCTAAGCCAAACCAAAGTCCAGCAAAGTAGCTCAAGTTTGGACA